TGGGAGAACTTGCACAATTGGTGGCTGACTAAATACTTTTTTGCCCCACTGTAAGTAATAACCCACCAAGATATGCATGATTGTGGATAGATCTCTGTTCAGCATCTAGATTAAGTTGCTACTTGAAAAACAGTTTATCCTCAATATTTCTCTAAGATAAGACGACAAATACATTCAATCAGAATGAAAATAATATGACTTCATAGTCTACCTCGCCAGGCCGGATCTTGATAAAAAAGCTGCTGCGCTTGTAAGAAATCTTTAACACTTTGGGCCAAGGAAAACGGTTGATTCTCAATTTATCTTTATAGACAAGAAGACCACTGGAACAGACTCCTAGTGTGATGTCCACACCTTCCAAGTCCTACAAAAAAGAAAGTAAAATATACTATAACAATACTTATATATCCTCCAGGGGAGATGAGCGACATACAAATTTAATAAATAAATAAACATCCTCATTTCAACATTAAAAAAATTAAAATAATTTTTATTGAATTTTTTTAAAAAACAATAATAAAACACAATATAAACTAAACTTGAAAAGAAAAATAAAAAGAGTGCAAAAAAAAAAGGAGAAAACGGATAAGAAAATGAAAAAAAAATATTGAAAGAAGTGACTTCTGATCTTCATCACAAGCACAAACATACTTGATGATTCTTCACCCTCTATAAGGTTACATGCAAGTATCTCTTCTTTCCATATGCAAATCCATTAATCATTAACATTTCAGTCCTGATGTCAGCAAAAAGTCCATAAGGGTTCCCAGAATTTTATAGAAACATGTCTTAGTTTAACTTTGGTCAAATAAACCAACTCTGTACTCCTTCCTTTTGCTTCTAGCAATCTTGATCTTTAATTCATTCAAACATTGCTGTAGGATTTGATCTCTCTTCAATTTTTCTTTTTCCCATCTCAAAAGCTTCTTCAAGGCTTTAGCAAACCTCTTTTGTAAATCCAATAGGTAGTCATTACCCAGGTCATTCTCTTGGCTTGTCATCTCTATTTCCACTTTACCTGTCATCTCTGTTTTATAATCCACAATTTTTAGTTTCCAATATTTCAACAATTTCTTTATATTCTAATATTTCAGCATCAGATGAGGTTTGTTTCAGCTCTTTATCCTGTAGATCTTCCAAGATACGTTTTTTCACATCTGTCATTTCTTCTTTAACATCTTTTGCATATAATCTATCCATAAAAGCACACATCACTGCTGACATTGTAGCTGCTAATTTCTGTGCCCATTCTTCAAACATCTCCTGGAGTATTTCTAATGTCATACCATTTTCTGTCATTTTGTCTCAATGCTGACCAAAGACAAAAGGCAAGCCTAGTGATGATGAACCTATGACACACATGTCAAAGGTGACACGCCACAACGTTTTGGGTGACATGCCAGCATTCATCAACACCCAACAACTTTTCTGTCTTTCTGAGTTACCATAGAAACTGAGTTTGTTTTACTCATATTTCATTTTTGTAATTATTTGATATTTCTTTAATATAATACACAGCACTGCACATGATTGGACTGTATTTATTTAAATAAATGAATATTTAAAGAATTGTTTCTCTTTTGTTCAGGGGGGTGACACACCTGCAAAGTTTGCCATCACTGGGCAAGCCTGTCTTTTTCTTTTCTTTTTCTTTTATGCCTGGAATATTGTGTCCAATTTCTAAAACCATAACTTCTGTTATGACTAAACAATTTAGTTACCACAAAGAGGCTGTTTATTTGTATAATTATTTCCAAAATCTTATAGCAAAAGTCCTAAAAATCCAAATTCATCTGGTCCCTTAATTCGTTTATAACTTTTTTGGATTGAAGTCTTATTTAGCTTTTTGCCATTTATTTCAAATTCTTTAAATTCTTAAGATTATAGTCATTTTTTCTTTTATTCTGGAATGAAGGTAAACTCACCAGGTGGCTCTGCAAACTTGTCCTTTTGAAGATCTCTAATATTCTTAAGATAGTTAAATAGGTCATTTCCAAAAATGATTAGACAGTGAGGTTAGCGAACCCAGTATCCTTTAAAAGGCTCTGCTGAGGTTGAGAGCGTGATGGCTTCCCTTCGTCTCCTGGTGCTCAAACCCATGGGAATCTGCTTTCCTCCTTGTGAGGAACAGCTGTCTAGAGCACAAGTGGGCAATCTCCCATCCTTTCCTTATCCAGAGGAAGTTCTGTGGGACCGGTCTATTTGCCTGTCCTTTGGTCATGGCCCATCATCTCCACTTGTTTGGAGACATACTAATTCATCATTCCTCACCGGAAGTCTCCTCAACATTAAAAATGCTTGACCCTACCCATGGCCTCTACACTAGTTGCTTTTAATTTTCTCTGTATGCTGTTCTCTTGACAAAATTCCTGACCTGGGCAATATGCTCTCTTCAGATAGTTTTCCATTAAATATTCCATATTTTTATTATATTTGTCTTGATCCAACAGGATAAATGCAGTCCCAGACACAATTGTTTGCATTCATTCAAGCACATTTCCAGAAGAAAAAAAACCTCTCTCTTCATAATTGCCAAGTCATTTTTTCAGTGTTTTCACCAAGGGCAAAATCCATCCTGAAGACTCCTAAATTTAGCCAGGATTTCACTGCTTTAACATGAAACATCATAAGAACAAAACACTCTTATGGAATTGGCTAACTCTATCTCTTCTAGCTAAAAGGCAAGGCTTAGAATTTTGCCATCCAGTGGAGAACCATCTTTCTCTGTCTTAGCTCTGCATTCTTTTTCTTTGGAACACCTGGAAGCACAGATAAGCGGGTGCTGGAATTAGCATGGCTTGGTTATGCGCTGAATTTCAAAGGGAATAAAAAGTTTGAGCACTGGGAAAATCTCCCATGCTCTGGGTCCTATCTATTAAATAGGGCCGTCAGGTGGGACTCAGGAAGTATGTCTTCTGTTACAGCACCTGCTCTTTGGAACACACACACCCCCCACACCCCCCTCCCCAGAATTCATGAAGCACCAACCCTACTAGCAGTTTGTGAATCCTTGAAGACCTGGCCCTTCCCTCAGGCACAGGGTCTGGAAGTTAGGTGAGTCCATCACTGTGGGTTTGTCTTTTTTATTATTGGAACTGGGTTTGCTTTCAGCCACCACTACTTTATTTTACTTTCTTATTTTTCTTACTAGGTATGTTTGTTTGGTTTTAACCCTATGTGCGCCACCCAGAGTTGCAATCATAAGATGGATGTGATATATAAGTAAAACATTATATATAAAAAAGCACAAATATATTCTCTTGCCTTGGCTTGATGAAGATCAACTCCATACATAGACAGCTTTTTAGCATTCTCAAGAAATTCCATATCAGCTTGAGCTGGACTCATAGATCTATTAAAAAAAATAGTGGAAAGGAAAACAAGTAGGCTCCAACATGGCATTTTAGGAGTACTTAGGTGTCTTGGGTCCATTGACCCTAATCACAGTTTAATTAAACCTGTACACAATTGGTTGAGTTCACCCAACATACTAGGTTTGATTAAAACGGAATTTGGTATTTTGTGGTTAGATACATTATGGGAATCCAGCTATTGTCATAGCATGCAATATGAGTCAGGCCTCTATGTGAAGTTTAATAGCTCATCCAAAGACTTAAAAATAAAGGAATCTGAAATCACTTAAAAGGCAAAGTTTCTCAGAGCCATATAAGTAAGTTTTCTCCAGATCTTTATGTTCTGCTTCACAGAAAGTTGCCAAGTTTATCAGAGCATTTCTGTCCTTTTTTAAAAGGGCTATAAATAATATGTTTAAATAACAGGTGGTCCTCACTTAATGTCCACTTCTTCAGAGATTGTTCAAACTTATGACAACACTGAACAAATGGTAGTTATCACCGGACCTCGTACTTACAGCCATTGCAGCGTCCCCGCAGTCACATAATCATGATCAATGGGGAAGCCAGTGGGAAGTCGCAAATCACGGTCACGTGAGGTCCTTGTTTCACAACCCACATGGTCCTTGCTTAACAACGTCAACCAGGACTGCTGGAACTGCCATCACTAAGCAGCACAGTCATGTGGTTTTTCAACTTACAACCACATCACTTAACAAGTTTCCGGTCCCAATTAGCACCATTAAGTGAGGACAACCTGTAGTTCTTTAAGAACTCTGTACATCATCACTTTTAGAATTCGATTTGAAAGTGTTTAAAGTTAACAGGACAACTGTTTTGTTTCTACTTCATACTTTACCAGTATGTATTTTTTAAAAGTATTTACATGAGCAGCACAACAAAACACGGAGAAAAGAACAAATCTAGAATTATAATTAAAAGTTAGTAAAACAACCATTAGCTAAAGGTTCTATAAGACTCACTGCCTTTATGTTAATTTTTCATCCAATGTTATTTCCCAGACATTAAAGTATCAGTGCTGAAAGGAAGTTGTACTACAACTTTCTAATATTTTGTTGTAGTAAATACTCTGATATTACTGGCTAATCAATAATAAAATCTACTTGCTGTAGTAACTAGTTCCTTACAGTGCAACATTTTATGTCATAGGTAATATAGACAATTAAACGACAGAGGCCATAGTATCATCTATGAATTTGCTATAGTCCATTCTTGAGGATATGTCAAAATTAATCTGAAGTGAATTTTATAGTGTAAAGAGTTTTGGGTCGACTTCCTGAATTTAAATTCAAAGTCCTCTTCCTATAATTTACTACTTCCAATAAATCCTTTTGTGTTTGATGTTAGAATCTGTTTCTTTGATCGTAAATTATCTATAGTTCAGATAACGATGAGTTTTAGAAAAAAATATTGCATTTTTCAGATTTAGTTTATATCATAAGACATATCTACTTTCTTGGGTTAATGAATGGCAAGTTTTATGGACCTCTTCATCCCATGCACCGTGATTATAACTACATCACTGTAAAAACACTATTGTCAAACTCAAGAGAAATATGAAGAAAGGAATTGGTATGTCCAATGCATGATTGTCAATAGAGTAACATTTTGAAATTTAACTGTCACATTCTAGAGATTTAAAATTGTAATTCAATAAAAAAAATATAGCTATTGGACAATATGAGTCTTTTGGAAAGAAACAAATGGACTCAGCTAATTGTTGGAGATGTGGTGTTCAAAATGCAACACTGGTTCATATGATATTATCTTTTCAACAATGGCTCGCTTCTGGACAATAATTGTTCTTTGCCCCTATTTATACGAAAGAACGCTGAATATGCCCCTTCCCAACAATAAACTTCAGAAATGTACATTCCACTCTTTTACTCTTTTAATTTAATCAGTTATATTTCTTTTATGGGCAAATTCAGATTGATCAATGGATATTTAATTATAAACTTGTTTAACCTCCTGGCAAGTAAACCAGTTACTATTTCTCATCTTGAATTAATTATTTGAAAAGCCTGTATGATGACATTTTGTGGGTCTTTGGCTTTAGGAATAATCAGAAAACTACTATGTTTACAAGAGTCAGGAGTTTTTTTTTCCTGTATAGTTGGCAAAGATTTGGCATTGATTATTTCTGTAAACTTTTATAATAGTTGGGTCTAAATCATCAATATCTGGAGTTCTGCCATTTTTTCATTTGTTATTTAAACATACTTTGTTTCCTTTTATTTTCTGTATTGAAGTGACCTTTACTAACAAACATCAGCAGAGCAACACAGCAAAAAAGTGGTTTATTTGCCAGAACAATGTACTCTGAATCCTACAGTAAGCGTAGAGGCAGTTATAATGATCAGTTTTGTTGTAACCTGAGTAAAATCAACAATAAATTATTGCTGTATCCATGTTTTAGGGATATCCATATTTCTCTTTATATAGATCACTTTAATTGGATGTACAACACTTGATTGATGACAGATTTAATACTCACTTGTATGTTTTATGCAATTCCGTGACCTTGTCTTCTAGTTCTTTTGTCTGATTTGGGGCCAGCTTAAATTCACTGACGTAATCTGCACCATGTAGATCGATGTCATAGTCTCCTAGTTCAGATTGGATTGTGTAGGAACCTAGCAAAGCTAACGTAGCAAAGGAGCAAGGAAGCCGCCCAGTAATAATATCTTTTCTTAGCTGGAGACACAAATAATACCTGCAAAATAGGGAAACAAAGCATCATACCAGGGAGTTCAAAGATCCAATTACATCAATACACAGCAATGGCTTGAACTACAAAGGCACCTCTTCACTTGCAACTATCTAACTAAAAAATCAATCAGATGGACTAAAAATTATTTCAGTTTTAACAGAAAGCGTCCTAAAACTAAGTATTGTTTGTTTTTGACATAAGCATGATAAAAGATAAGGTAGCTCACTCTGCACTTTATGAAACAAGCACAAGATCAGCATTATGTAGCAGCACATTATTATTTTCTTCTCTGTTATCTGCAGTTGATGAATTGCCAGAATACAAAAATAAAATAATTCTCTCAAGAAAAAAAAAGAAAACAGGACAAATAAGTCATGTATAATGAGGCCAAGTGCACTATTAAGCCAACACTGTATCTGTCTTCCAAAGGCCGACAGGCTCATTAAACTGTTTATGTATTCCCCTATGATTGTGTCCAGCTTACACCCTTTTCTGCTGGTTGAGGAGCACCAATTAAGATTTCTCTTATATATGCATTACCCAAAAACAAGTATTTCAAATTATATGTGTGTTATTTCTGGTACTAGTAAACACTTGAAATGCATTTTCTATTAGTTTAAGGATATCACAAACCTTGTTATATCCTCTGTTAACTGTGCTGGGTCTGGAGGATAAAACTTGACATTAAAAGTGAAAATCCATGGACCTCCTGAAATTAAAGAGAGAGATTTGTTAATTTTTGACAGTCTGTAAGTTGTTAAATTACCATTCTTATTATCAGCTGACTGAAGAGCTAAGAGACTCTGAAACTGAAAGATATCTGGAAACCGCAAGATCTCCACCCCTCCATTACAGAATTCATTTTCATCAGTTTTGCTACAATCATTCAATCAGAAGATATAGAAATAACACACTGTAAACATATCACATTACAGGCAAAGTCTTCCATTCTGTTATAGGCCAATAATAAATTAGAACAAGACTCAAAACCTAGAATCTCTCTGCTCTTAAAAAACTTATCTTAATCCTCTGAAGTAATATCACAACTTCAATTGCTAAAAGTTGAACAAAATCACTTGAGGGAATAACTGATCCCAAGCAAGTGAGGTTCCAACCAGGACTATCTATTATAGACCACTGCCTAGTGCTACAACATTTAGCTAATATATAAAATTATTCTGATCTGACTATATATGCAACCTTTACTGATTTTAAAGCAATATTCAGCAACATCTCTAGGATGAGATTCTGGGGCTTTTTGATGAGATCTTATATAGATAAACAACTCTTGTTGCTAATTAATAAGTTATATTAAAATGGCTTCAGGGTAATATGTAAAAAGGGAAGTGATCTTTCTGATTTCATCCAGACATCCAAGGGGTGAAACAAGGATATATTTTAGTCCCACTGCTTTTTAATATAACTCTATGATTAAAACTCTTCAAAGAGTCAACACCCATGCAACCCAAACTAATATCCACTTCCTGATCCTTCTTTGTGCAGATCTTGTCTTAGGCAGGTATGAAGTGGGCTCTAAGAATCCTGGCACCCTACTGTAAAGAGGAACAACTGGTCATTATTATGATTAATCCAAACTTTTAGTTTTCTCCAATAAAATGCAAAGGCAAAAAGCTGGCCGTGATTTGTTAGGCACAGTGAGAATGAGTACTGACAGCAATCCAGCTTTGCATGTGCAAACCATGGACTGGTGCACATAAAGCCAGAGTTCTTATCGATCATGCTCTAGGCTATTCCTAAACCATGTTCTTTCCGCTTTCCTTGGACAAGCTGACAGCTGACTCATCCAGGCAGAATGAGAGCAAGTTCTGACAGGGCTCCTGCTTTGTGTGTGCAAGCCACCACCCCCAAATTGTGACACCACCCCCCATCAAATTTGCTCACAACCTCTTGGGATTGTAACCTGCAGCTTGAGAATATCTGGCCTATTCAGTTTAAGGGAAAAAAGCACCACCATTTGGCAGCCTGAGATAAGAAGTCACTTCACTACACCAGGTCAGATACTTAGCTTCTTAAGCTTTCTAACATCCCACTTTGATCTATCCTCTCACTATGACAGCCAACAATTTCTCCTGAAACAAACCAAAAAAAACCTTATAGTTGAAAGCCAGACAGAAGTCATGCAACTTCCTCTTGTTCCAAATAACACAGGTGTAAAAAGAGAAAAGAGAAAAGATTTAATTGAACACCCTATTATTAGCTTGGTGTGCACAAGGCACTCTGTAATAACTCATGGTTTACAAACCATAATAGTTGCATTCACACAATAAGCTAAGCCTGTTAGTAAACAAACCCTGTTCAGGCTTATTGTGATGGGTGAACCCAGCAACGAAGTCATAAACACATTGTGAGCTCATGGTTTATTATAGCAGCAAACTAATTAAAGGAGATGTAATCTCCTAATTTATTTAAATATTGAATTATACACCTTTTATTTATCATTATCAAATCAGAAATGAATGAATGAATGATGGAAGCAGCAATGGTAAAAATAGATTAAATCCAGGCTCTAGTGGATCTTTAACTACAAGTATGAATTGGATAACTTTATCCTTCAATTATTTTTAAAAAGTTTTTTATTCCAGCACAATGATGCTGTTATATTCCTACACAATGCACATACTTGGACAGAAGAATCAGTTTTAAGAAGTAAGCTACTGTACTTGATAAACTACAAAACAGATCTTATTGATATATTTGCTGATTCTTTTCATCACTTTTTGGTGAACTCCATGAATGGTCCACAGGTATTCCATTTTGATCCTTTTTAACAGCTACTCAAACAGATATCAGTTTTCTTTTTGTTTATACACATCATTTAAAAAAGTCTTAACCCACTTACCATGGACCTGTTTTTTGATCTCTTTGGCAGCATCTAACCATACCTACAAGAAAATAGTAAATATCATTTGAAGGGTTAACAAATAAAATAATGTGAAAATGCATTATCGCTGCATTAATACAACACAAAGCTAGCACACTATTAATATAACATTACATATATATATTACTAAAATATTAACCATAGCCAAGCTATTGACATGACACCTGATAAACAGAAAGTATCTTAAATTTTCTTCTAATAATAAAAATAAATAAAGTGAAAAATAACACCAAAGTTTCGTACTTGTTTCAATTATTTCATAAACAAGAAATCCAACATGTGCCAACATGAAGATATAATTGTCCACTTAGATTCAATACTGATTGCATATCTTTAGCTGCAATAAAAGCAATCAAACACTTCCAGAAACTGGTGATCAGTTACATACATCTCTGTGAAGGAATTTTGGCCCATTCCTTCATGGTGAACTGCTTGAACTCAGTAACATCTGTGTTTCTTCTATATGAATTGCTTGTTTCAGACCCTGTCAAAACATTCATATGGGGTTTAGACCTGGAGTTTGAGTTGCCATTCCAGAACACTGAATTTCTTCTTCTGTATCCATTTACTTGTAGAATTGCTTATATGTTTGGGATCGTTGTCTTGCACTATCCAGCTACAACTCTCATTCAGTTGATTAAGATATGGTCTGATATCCTGCTATAGAAACAATTCTCTCAAAGTGGATTTAATGTTATTTGTTTCCTTATTTAGATTATTTATATGGCCACCCATCTCAAAGCAATGACTTTGGGCAGCATACAATAATTAAAACAATAAAAGTAAATCAACAATCCAGATAGCAAATGTCTGAGGGCAAAAAATAATATGCCCAATTTACAACAACAACAACAAAAGCAACAATAAAGCCAATTAACCAGCAACGCTTGCTTAACCTCCTGGCCCAAATGACTGGGGGAACAGCCAAGTCTTTAATATCTTGCAAAAGGTTAGCTGGGTCAGGGCCATCCAGATCTCCAGAGACATGCTGTTTCAAAGGACAGGCACTACAACAGAGAAGACATGACTCGCCCGGGACCCATTTTCTTCAATAGTGACAAGTTGTCGAGATCCTAAGATAGCAAAGTATCCCCAAACTATGACATCACCATCTCTGTGCTTGATAGTTGCCATGAGGTGCTTATTGTGGAATGCATTATGTTTATGACAGATATAACAGCACCCATGTAGCATGAAAATATCCACTTTGTACTATATTCTTCCAGAAGTCTGGAAGGTCATTCAGGTGATTTTGGAAAACTTGAGTTGAACTTCAATGTTCTTCTTAATCAGCAGTTGCTTATGCACGCTACTCTTCCATTAATTCCATTTTTATCCAGCGCTTTTTTTATATTGGAGTCATGAACTTTAGTCAACATGAGAGAGGCCTGAAAATAAATCCCTGGATGGGTTCCTTTATAATTCCCTGGATAATTTCATGCTGTGTTGTTGGAGTGATTTTGACAGTTCAGCCACACTGGAGAAAATAAATTATTGTCCTACCTCTTGTCCATTTCAGGACTATGTCTCTGACTCTGGATTGGTGGAGGCCCAGAGCAGTTGATTTTATCTTCTTTTCTAGTCTGAGAGGCATCAATGACTATGGAAGGTTTCAGAAATTTCTTCTGCACAGAGCTTAATGTGCCCCTTCCATCTTGTGGTATGAATTTTGTTGTGATTAGTGCAGCCAGAATTAGTAAGATTTAATTATGGGAGAGCTGACTAAATCATACCCGACTCACATAATAAAGTACTCACACAACTGGTTCTAGTTATCTATTTAAGTGAACTGATTGAATGGGGATGGGGGGAGGGATTACACTGCATGTTGGATCATATTGTTTATGAAATAAATGAAACAAGCCGTTCCAATATCAAGAGCTAGTACATGTCGTCCTTGCTTAATGATGGTAGTTGGGACTGGAATTCCGTTGCTAACGCAATGTCATGTGACCACATCGCTTAGTGCCAGCAATCTTGGCAGTTCCCGTTGCTGTCATTAAGTGAGAATCACAGGTCATTAAATGAGGACCATATGTGACTGCGACTTGCACCTTCCAGCCAGATTCCACCAATCAGTGTCAATGGGGAAGCCAGCAGGAAGTTGCAAGTCTCAGTCACAACAAGCCTTTCCTTAGGCAGCTCGTAATCAGGCTGGTAAGCGAGTGCTATGGAGCACGTGGGGATGAGATGGTGCTACGGCCAAGCACATGGGTGGGTGCTGAGACCCAGTGCAAGTGCGGCCCAGTACGTGGGTGGGTGCTGCGTCCCACTGAGAGTGGGGAGGTGCTGCACCATGGTGCAGCACCATGGGGTAGTGGGTGCTGCAGCATAGCATGGGCAGGGCGGTGGGTGCTGCACCATGGTGGAAGGGCAGGCGCTGTGACACAGTGGTAGGTGGGCACTGTGGTGTGGCATGAGTGCAGGTGGGTGGGTGCCGCAGCCTGGTGTGAAGGCAGCTGGCTGCCCATCCCCCCAGGGCCCACACTCCACCTGCTACCCAGGGGCATCCTGGGAGGAAAAGCAGCAGGAGTGGAAGCAACTTACCAAAACAACTTGTAACCTCCTGCTGGCTTCCCATTGCGGGAAGCTG